GCACACTGGAGAGAAGCCACTTGAATGTTCTTACTGCAAAAAGAAATTTGGATGCAAAGGAGATTTGAATATTCACCTGCGAACTCACACTGGAGAGAAGCCCTTTGAATGCTCTTACTGTAAAAAGAAATTTGGACGCAAAGCACATTTGAATGTTCACCTGAGAATACACACTGGAGAGAAGCCCTTTGAATGCTCTTACTGCAAAAAGAAATTTGGACAAAAAGGACATTTGAATATTCACCTGAGAAAACACACTGGAGAGAAGCCCTTTGAATGCAAAAAATGAAATATTTGCAATTAAGGGCAGACTGAAATATCATGTAGCTGTTTCACACTCAATAACAGTTGTTTGAATATTTGTACATTTGTAAAACTAGTTTTTAGGTATTTTTAGTGTTTTACGAGCTACTTTTAGCAATTGTAATGAGTTTAATTTGAAATATCGCAAAGGTCTTGTTCGAACTTGATTTTTTCTTGTTCTTGTTCTTGTTGTTCTTGTTCTTGTTGTTCTTTGTAAGAACTGTTAACTATCAGTTGTTTTTTAGTGCAGGAAAGTCTTTGCTTCATTTGACTCCCTAAGAAAGAGTTTATTGCAGTTAAAACGTCTTTCTGTTTAAAGTGTGAATTTGTTGATAAAGTGTCAGGAGTTTATGAGTTGTTTTTGAGTAAACGAGGGAGAATGAGCACCAGTTCACATTTCAACATAAGTAGAGGCAGAAGAAATGGATCTTAGTATAAACTGAGAAAAAAATAAAATAAAACAAATAATGAGAAAATGTTTCCATGTAGCAGTTTTTTCGTTGCAGTTATCGCACTAGAAACTAATTTCAACTGAGTCATCGGGAACTACAATGACAGAGAGTGTGCTAGCTCAGAAGAGAAAATGAAAATGTGAATATACATGCACAAATGTGATTGATGCAGCTTTTCTTGCTACCTACATGCATGACATGGTGTGAATTGGCCGGCCCCACCATTAGGACCAGACATGTTAACTGCACCACATGGGTGGGGTCGGGTTTTATTTGTTTTATAAGGGTCAAATTAGGAATGATGTTAAACTATTTAGCTGCTGACTTTGGGTGTTTTTTTTCTTTTTTTCCTTTCACTCCATTTATATTATAACTACAAACTCACCTGGGATTCTTTTTTTTTGTAAATTTTAGGGTACTATCGTCGTGTACCGTGCACCAAGTACATCATAGGTTTCCCAACACACGGGTGGGATTTTGAAATGTTTTAAGGCCGATAAATACGAGAAACAAAAACCCTCAACTTGGCGCGAAACATTGTTTTCTGTTCAAGTTGAGCATCGGTGTTTCTCGTTTTTCACGATGTATTTTTGTTGCATAACAAGTTGACGATGAATGAAAAACGAGAAACTTTCATACTCAACTTTAACAGAAACAATGTTGCGCGCCAAGTTGAAAGTTGGTTTTTGTATCTCGTATATTTAGCCGCCTTAAGGGTTTTTGTTCTCCTCACTTGGTAAAAAAATTGATCCGGGTAAGATTTGAACCAGCGAACCCTAAACCACTAAGTCCCTATAACCGTTAAACCTGAGAGATGATTTCGCTTGGYTGCACTTTTTTTCTAGTATTTAACCAATTTCTCATTAACATTTCAMTAAATGATTAATATGTAGGACTGGGATCTAATCCTTATATTCTCAAGGGATAACGGGGAGGGATATAAAAGGTAGAGCCACGTGTTCTGGAGAGAGTTCCAGATCTACCGCACTTTCAGCGTTGGATCTTGTAAGGGCAATCTAAAACGTCCCCTAACGGTCTTTCCTGGTCCAGATTTTGACATATAGAGCCTCAAGTGTAAGAAAATCAAATAAATTACAGCAAGGCCCAAAATAAAGATAAAGTAGACACAAAAACGTTTACAAATATATAAGAACGAAGTCTATACGAATACTCGTCGGAATTAATTTGCATACGTCAATTACAAATACATGCAAATAGTCTCCTTCACGGTTACCTGCGCCATGTTGAAAGGTAGCCGTGCCTTTACATCGAGGCGAGACAACCGTTGAGTGTGCAGTGATAGAAACCTTCTTTCA